AACTACAATAACTGCTAAGGAAGACACTTGGGTGTTTTAATGTATAAAGTCCTACCCTGGAAAATATTTTTCTTGCTTGCTTATTTTAAACCAGACCAGGTAGATCAATAAAACAGTTTATAGACTGTGTGACATTTTTCTTAACGTTAGTTCTATTCCATTTTTGGTCAGCAGTCTCTTCTAGTAAGCTTCACAACCAGGCACAGAATGACATCCTGGGGAATGAGACCTGTATTTTTGTTGATTCCTCCCTCAGGTTCTTTTTGGATGAATCCCCAATACTTGTTGAAAGTTTTGCAAGGCAACGGAAGCAAAAGATCTTTATACTCATGCAGCGTGTTGGTGTCTCTGATCCAAAAACACAGTGGCAAACATCGGAATCGGGTCCCTCATTTTCACATAGGCTTTTCGCTCTATAAGGTAAAGAGAATTGGTTTGTGCTTAAATTGCTCAAAATAAAGAGAGGGAATCTCCTTCACTTTGTCAAACAAATACCGTAATCATCAACTTATTTTCCAATTTAGAATGGTGATCTTAGCCAACAGTAATAGCCTGGCTCCATCGAATAGGAGCTGAACATTTAGTCTTATAAATAATAATCTTAATTATTAAATTAAGATGAAGAGAGATGATAAGTTAGAGCAGTGTTTCTCAACCTTGGCAACTTTAAGATATGTGGACTTCAACTCCCAGAATTCCCCATGGCGATTCTGGGAGTTGAAGTCCACATATCTTAAAGTTGCTAAGGTTGAGAAACACTGAGTTAGAGGCAGAAAAAAGGACAAGGGACAGGAGAAATAATACCTCATGGAAGGAAAGCATAAACAGATTCTGGGAGTTGAAGTCCACATATCTTAAAGTTGCTAAGGTTGAGAAACACTGAGTTAGAGGCAGAAAAAAGGACAAGGGACAGGAGAAATAATACCTCATGGAAGGAAAGCATAAACAAAACCCTACACCCAAGTTTTGTATAGCAATCAAATCTTTCCTGTTTTGATAATCCCCTTAAGATGGTAAACACAGCAACATTTTCCTCCATATTTAGCTTAATTTCTCACAAACGTTAAAAAAGGTGCAGAAGGTTTTAATGGCAATGTAGGCCTAAACAACCCTACCTGCAAAAGATTAATCAACAAGGGTAGAGGTTCTGGTTGATGAGTTTAGTGCTTTCATGTTCCGACTGGTTCTACCACCTACACTTTTCACTTTTAAATGTCTCAGCGCTTACTTGTTGACACATCTCCTTTCTCTTCCTTCTAGGTTGACCAGAAGGTATGTAGAACTTTTTCACCTTTTCTTCTCTTTTTTTTGCAATTTGGTACCATAGTTGTTACACATTTACTTTTCCCTGCTCTTTTACTGAAATCAGGTTCAGCAGAAAATGTACAACTGACCTCAATGAGTTCAGCAAAATTGACATTCTGCTCTGAATATGACTTTAGTTTATTAAAAGTCTGAATGTTGGGGGCACGATGTTGAAGGTCGGCAGACTGAAATGAAATGGACTTAAGTTAGTAATGAGGAACATGTCTCAATAATTTCAACTGATTTATTTTAAATATAAATCATAAAATATGTACGGGTCTTTATGTCACAAAGTTGAAATGTGTTGCTTTCAAGGGCTGAAATATGATTCAGATTGAAATCTTACTAATTTTTGCTAGAAAGTATTATTGAAATTGTATTTAAAAATATCAAAAATATCACAATCTTGATAGTTTTTTTTGTTTTTCCAGATCTGAACAGTGTCCAATGTGAATGTTTAGGCATGGCATTCAAGTGTATAGGGTTCAGTATTCTTTGTTCTTATTTTAGATAAGCTTCTTAAGGCAGTTAGAAAAAATGACTGTTAATGCCAAAGTGATTGAATACATTTCAAGATAATGCATTTTTATGGCTTAATTAAGGATTAATGGCAGTGTTCCTGGGCTGTGCCCAGAAGCAGTAGACAAGGTTGAGTGAGAAATGGTTTTATTACATTTCTTTTCCTTTCTTTTCCTTATTTTTTTTTCTGGCTCTAATAATTATATGTTCCTGGGAGACGTTCAACCACCTTTTTGGCTGCTTTGTGGAATTTGTAGATGCCACTAAATCAATATAAACATTTTTCTCCACTGCATATAGCCAGCATTAAATAATGTTTTAAAGCTACTTCATCTCAAATACGTTGAGTTTTTCAAATTTAATAAATGTATTTCAGGATGCGAAAGAGCTCCTTTCAAGAGGAGGTTAGATGCTATTGTTCAGTAGAACAGCTTTTCCCAAACTGAACGTTCTCTAATATTTGATTGAACCATTCTCTCTGGATTCTTAGTGAGGTCCCTATCATTTGTGAATTCTAGAACAGCTGAAATCCAAACTTTTGGAGGACGTCAATCTTAGGAAAGGCTGCAGTATGTGTATACATACTGTACATGTGCATGTCCATTACAGTATTCTCTTTCAAGATAAGTTACAATATGCAATGCACCAACAAGCAGTAAGAAATAGCAAGCAAAAGAAATGAAAGGCATGAACTAAGAGAAGAAGAAAGGACATTTAGCAAAGGCTACTTTATACTAGCCATATTCACTAAACATCTCCATACTTTTCTATCTTTACAAACCATCCTTGTTTCTATTATGTAAATGCACCTATTCATACATTGCCATTTGTTCTTGAACCTTTTCACCTCTTTCTTTCTGAGAATCTTATGAACTCCAGCCATGATTTGTTCAGTCTTCTCCTTTTTCTTAATACAGTCACTCTACTTTATATTTTGTTTTGCAATTCAGTCTTCATTTATTATTTCTATATGAACAAACCACTTCAGTGTACTTTTCATGCTTCCATTCATTCCACATTAGTTCATAACCCATTCATTATTGACTCAAACTCATATTTTACCACACACACTTCTTAAGTAACCCTAACCCGTAACATTCAACTGTGTTCTGTTTTGCATGATGTACCCAGTTCTCACTACCATCTACCAAAGTTGGCAGAAACACATCTTATACACAGCCCTTTATGTTTCTTTTGACAAACATCTGTTTCTCACAACAGACCACATAATACACATAGTACTGCCTTTCTACTAGCATTTGCACATCTTAAAATGTGTCTATCCATTCTCTCGTCTTTAGTAAACATTCTACAAAGGTACACAAGTTCATCTACTTGCTCCAGTTTTATGTCATTTATTTATACCTTGCAATTGTTCACTCCATTTCCCCCTGTCAAACACAACCACAGTGGCTGTGATATATTCATCCATATGCCTTATTTCTATCATATACCACTTTTATTGCATTCAGCAAAAGAAACCAACCTTCACACAAAACTTTCCATAATTCAAGCCTATTCATTTTGTTATGTGCTTTCCCTAAATCAACAAATGTACATACTTTTCTCAATGACAGGTCAAGAGCAAAAATCTGGTTTGCATACTGTCTTCCTGGCATGAACAACATCGCACCTCCTGACTCCTTATATCCTTTCAGGCAGAATTCTGCCAAACACCTTGCCAGGCACACTTAACACACTTCATATGTTTTCCTTTTTATACAAGATGTGTACTTTTTCTTTATTCTTCTTTCCTTTTCTTTTAGTTTCATTTCCTCCTAGTATTACTCTAGATACTACCAAAAACTGGTCTGTCCACATTCAGATTAATGAAATCCTGTACACCTTTTCATTTGCAGTTCATGTCTATTTTCATATGGCGACACGTGCTTCGAAAAGTAGCTTCGAAATGTGTGAAAGTGTGAGCACAGCACATCTGTTTAGCAGCCATGTCTTTTTTCAGGGTTATGTTTCTACATATTCTGAAACATTTCTTCTGAATCTTTTTCAAAGCATGCATAACCCAACCCTATATTTTAATACACGTTAAAAAAAATACACATTTTTTGCAAACAAATTTCCTTGCAATATGTCCATCATAATTGGAGTGTTGTTAGTACTGGTTTATTTTCTGCTATCTTACTCTTGCTTCATTTGGATCAAATTACCATTTGGAGTTTTCTTCCTCCAGGTTTTAAATATACCAGAGGAATAGAATCAGATCACAAGCAAAGTTGTGTGTACGATCCATGAATGAATAACATGCTCTGGACAGTTAACAAAATTAGAGCCAGTTTGATCTAGTGGTTAAGGCACTAGGCTAGAAACTGGGAGACTGTGAGTTCTAGTCCTGACTTAGGCATGAAAGCCGGCTGGGTGACTTTGGGCCAGTCACTCTCTCTCAGCCCAACTCACCTCACAGGGTGGTTGTTGTGGGGAAAATAGGAGGAGGAAGGAGTGTTAGGTAGGTATGCCACCTGGAGTAATTTATAAAAATAATAAAGGTGGGATAAAAAATATTTTAAAAATGTCCTAAATCAATAAAAATATTGAATCTAATAACATCAAAATATGTTTAGAATAATATCAATAGGATAGCACAATCAACATAAAGCCAACAAAAACAGCACCAAATCAGATCATGAATGGCATAAAACTGAATGGCAAAAAAATGAATGGCATAAAAGAAAAAGGCAGCTCCTCAGTGGCAAGATGAAATGCACATTGCAAATAAGTAACTAAAAACCCTGAGAACATTATTTTCCCACCTGGCAATGAAAAGACCACATATAGATGTCAAATGAAGCCCGCTAATGAGCGTGTTCCATTGGAATATGGACTAAGATTGATGTCAACCCAACAATACACCAATAGACTAGACTAAGAAACTAATGCCATATAGGTCAGGACTACTTTTATTGTAACAGCTATAGTAACAGAATTGTGCAAGTCTGAATGTGCTTCCCCCTTCCTCACTTTATCTTTGTATGTACTAGGGAGGGGCCTGTCTGAGACATTTAATCAAACTAATTTATTGGCCCATGCTCATGTCCCTCTTATCTGACTATTGCCCTGGTTGCAGCTCTTCCTCCTGTCCTTCAAGGCCATTCCCTATTTCCTCTACATTTTTGCCTTCTATTTATTTATTGATTTATATGCTGCCCATCTCTCATATATGACTTTAGGTCATGTATGTGAGATGACCTAGGACTGACTATCAACAGTAAGGGAACCAGTCATCAAGAAATATGCCACAGACCAGCACTTAGTAGGACAGCAATGAAGGTCGTGGAAAAGATACAGGTGACACATCTGTAGCTACAAAGATCAGAATTGTCCTGGCAACTTTTTTTCCCTGTGATACTCTATGGAAGCAAGCCAGATTGGACTTTGAGAAGCAAATAGAAAGAACAATGACATTTTTGAACTTTGGTGATAGAGAAAACTCTTGAGAATACTATGGGTAACAATGAAAATGAACAAATGGATCACAGAGCAAGGCAATCCAGAGTTCTTACTCAAGGCACTAATGACCAGGCTCAAATTATCATATTTTGGATACATGGTGCTAAGTCCCAGCTCCTTGAGAAGTCCATAAAGGTGACAAAATGGAAAGAAAGAGGACAACTTGCAGCAAGGTGAATGGACTTGATTACAGCAGTGATGAGAGGACTATTGGAGGACCTGAAAGGCCAGGTTGGGGATAGATCATCCTGGAGAGGGTCTATTTATGTGATTGCTAAGAGTTGACGCCAATTTGATGACACATAATCAAATTAAATCAAGTTTACTGAACAGAGTATCCCTTTAATGCACTTGCCACACAACAAAACTCAAATCCTCAAGAGATTGTCTAACTTGTCAAAAGCACTCAAGTTTTATTAGAGTTTGAGAATAATCCACAAATTCAAATTCTGACCACTTTCCAAATGTTCTGAAATTTCATTTCCAAAGTAATGAGAATGTTCTGTTCCTGAATGAACCCACCAGGCTTTTGTGCTTTTAAAGCTAAATTCTACATACTGCTTTGCTGTGAAACCTGTCAAGCTGTTACTGCTCCCCATAGGGAGCTCTTAAGGTTATAAGGGATGGCTAGCTATATTATCTGGCTATAGCAGGGAAACCAAATCTATCTGTCTCTCATGTGGAGCTTTGGACCAATTGGGAGACAGCACTTTGCCATTTAAGCTCATTGAAGCTTGGAGCTGGAGACTGCTAAGAGGTAATTTCAGACATGTATTGAACACAAAGATTAATATAGTGAAGTACAAAACCAAGACCAGTTTTAAAATTGGAAATACAATGAATCACAGCATTGACCAAAGCATAAAAGCTTTGCATTTAATATATGATGCATTCTAAGGGGCAACCCCACACTCTTAGTAGATGATAAATTGCTACATTAGCAAGAGAAAAATACAACCAGAGTGAGGGAGAGTGCAAAAGTTGTTCTGCAAATGCTCTTGTGGGTAACAAAGTCCACTGGAGAGCAAAATGTCAGAGTCATTCTGAGCTATGGCTGGCTTGAGGAGGCTCCATTGTTCTTAGCCAATGCAATTATTGATCATCTTTCTATGCTGAGTATTCTATCTGGTTGTTGGTTATAGGAAATGCCTAATAAAAGGGCAAGTTTATCTTCATGGCCATGTCATAATACTTGGAAGGGTTCAAAGTGTGACTACAGTTGTAATTCTAAGCATGCTTACATGGAAGTAAGTCTGGTTAAGATTAAGGGAGCTTTTCCTGAGCAAACAAGAACAGGATGAAGAATATAATCCTGGTATGCTTGGGTTTCAGGATGATATGAAAATGGGCTAAATACAATTTTGAAAACAATTGGATATTCTAATTATTGCATGTACCTGAGCATAATATACATAGTGTTGAATCATTGACAGGTTTCTTTCTGGTGCCCCATTGCTGTCAGGCATCATGCATGATGCGTGCTCAAGATGGAATGTGCAAACTAGTGTTGGTACAGACTGCAGCAGCTTGGGCAGTGATGCATGTATCCTGATTAGTTGGGTGATCCCACTACTTCGTGAGCTGCATTGGCTGCCATTCAGCTTCTAGGTGCAATTCAAGATTCCAGCGGTCACCTTTAAGGACCTACATGGCTCCAGACCTGGTTATCTGGGGACCACTTTCTCCTGTATTTATCTGCCTGTCCAGCCAGATCAAATAGACTCAACTCTCTCCAGGTTCTGTCCCTATAAGATTACCAGCTGATAGAGCCTTGGAAGCTGTTGTGAACTGGTGGTTCAGAGGGCTTAAATCTGTCCCCAAAGAAAGTATAGGGCAAGAGGGAAGGGATTGGAACTGAGGAAAGAATAACATGGGGAGATGAATGGAATGGCTCAAATATTTGTTGGTTTCAGTCACAGAGGTTTAATTTCTGTTAAACATGCCATATGCATTTTAAAATTTTATTGGTGGGGAGGCTGGCTTGACTAATATTCTAGTCAGAGGGAGTAGTTTGGCAAAAAATGCCAGGAGAAAGATTAGGAGCCTGACTATCTCCAGTGAAAATCCCCGCACTTACTAGTAATGTTTTAAAACATTCTGGTGTGGTTTTTAGTGTTGCATTTCATCTAGAAATACCCAGAAATGCGCTCCAGCATCTGTTTTTATCACAGGAACAGGATGGTATGTATATTTAATACCACAGCCTGAACCAATGTTGTGAGCAGCATGAACATGCAAATGTTCATCTCCCTTCTATTATTTTTTTTAAAAACTCTCAAGTCACGAGCAATGTCCTTGATTTATTTTCATCTGGTTTCTTGTTTTATTCTTTCAGTCCTGTGACAATAATAAAAAGCTGCCTCCTGCTTTCTTCATCTGGAATGCACCTTTGAGTCAGTCACTGTTTGTGAATGACCGGGAAGTGACTCAGGACTTCCGCCTCCGCCCTGGGACTTATGTGGTGGTTCCCTCTACCTTGGAGCCTCATCAGGAATCAGAGTTTATCTTGAGAATCTTCTCCAGAAAGCACAGTCTGTGGTAAGCATTCCTAGGTTAGTTTGCAAAGACCATCCTAGCAACTGGATTTCCTGTTTTAACTCAGCCTGTGAGTTTCCAGCAAAACTTCTGTGCCTCCCTGTTCAGTTTTACTTCCTTTTATCTCCTTTTCCACCACCTTTATAGTTTAGTTTCTTCAAACAACCTGACATGTTATAAAGTACCAGGCACACTGATGTTGGTAATTAGGTAACCAGAAGATCTTTCAGTGCAGATTTCAGGCCTGTATGAAATGCTCTGCATTTTATAGAACTCAGAGATCTGCCATTTGGATGCGGACACCAAAGAAGTAAAAGAATGATGCACTGATGATGTTACCTAGTTGGGTAATGAAATGTCTGCAAGCAAACAACCAAGCTCAGAGAGCACCAAGGACTCCAAAGTAGAACTCCAGGAATTCTAAGATGAGGAACTGGTTTAGAATAACAATGGAACCCTCAATCCTTTGAGACACAATCCACTGTGATTATCCAAAGCTTTCTTCACTTTACCAGGACAATTTGGAGGAGGGTGTCAGAAAACTTTGCTGATCTACTACAATCAGGCTTCCACATACTGCTCATCTGAATCAGCTGCATGGGCAACCTATAAGCCCTGGGTCAGTTGCAGCTCTCAAAAAATCATTCACACAACCGGCTTTGTGAGCTTAGGCTGCTGATGCCACTCCTTGATTTCCCTCCTGTACTGCACCCTCAATTTCTTACTTCATGGTATCATTGTTATGGTTGTCCTAAGAAAGACAGTATGCATCAATTAATTTCCCAGTGTGCCCTTGTCTCCAGTACTGTCTTCATCAAGATTGCTGAAGAAGCATGGCTCTTCTTATGGATCCTGATCAAGTCCTTCTCTGCATCAGAACATTGGTGTAGCGGAGGGCCAAAATTAAAGTCTTTTTCTACTACAGTTTTTGTTATATAGGTTTTGTGCATGGTTCTATATGAGAAAGAGAAAAAGAAAACAAATCGTGTTTGTGAATGTGTACATGTTGCCTACATGTAGTTTTAAAAAGGGCTCCATCATATAGTGCAGTGTTGTCCAAACTTGGCCACTTTAAGATGAGTGGACTTCAACTCCCAGAATTGCTGGCTGGGGAATTCTGGGAGTTGAAGTCCACTCATCTTAAAGTGGCCAAGTTTGGACAACACTGATATAGTGGCTTCTACCGTAAAAAGTATGTTTTTATGGTATGTGTTAAAAGAACACAAGATATACGAAAGTTTCCTTCTGATAGTGATTTCTTGTGAGGTCTTCCATTTCCAGTCAGAAATGGATGGACGTTATTAGTTGTAGTGGTCTTCAAGCAAGGTCAAATCACAGAGAAGCCAAAACTTAGAACATCATGTCCTCCAGAGATGTGAATTTTATGAACTATCTGTCTGGCATGGGTGGGATGAGGGTCATGCATCCATCCTCACTCTACTTGACCTCTTGGTGGCTTTCCATACCATCGGCTATAGTACCCTTCTGGATCAACTCAGAGGATTGGGGGTGGGTGGCACAATGCTGTGCTGGCTCACCTTCTTTCTTAGGAGTCTAGTTGGTGGTGATTGGGTGGGAGGGAGAGATCCTGCCTTTGGCCCCTACTGTGTGGTGTGCCTCAGGGGTTGGTGCTCTCTCCGCCCCTATTTAACATCTACATGAGGCGGCCTGGGTGAGCTTATCTGTCCATGGGGTGAAGTATCATCAGTACACTGATGATACCCAATTATATATCTCTGTCCCTGGTGAACTAAGCAATGCTATGGGCATCTTATCCTGGTGCCTGGAGGCTGTGAGGGTCTGGATGGGAAACAACAGGCTTCAACTGAATCCTGGGAAGACTGAGTGGCTTTGGGTTTGGGGGCCTGCTGGTTCTAAGACTATTCCATCTTTGGTGCTGGATGGGGTTACACTGCCCCAAACAGACCCCATGCACAATCTGGACGTTCTCCTAGACTCATGACTCCTGGTCAAGGAGGAGGTGGCAGTTGTGGCTAGAAGGCCCTTTGCTCAACTTCGTATTGTGCACCAGATGTGCCCATTCCTTGATTGAGGGCCTCTACTCACAGTCACTCTTGCTTTAGTCACCTCCCAGTTGGACTACTGTAATGCACTCTACATGGGGCTGCCCTTGAAGAGTATCCAGAAGCTTCAGCTAATGCAGAATGCAACAGTGTAGGCAGTTATGTGTGTTTCCAGAAGAACACACATTATACCTCTGCTCCGTGAGCTGTATTGGTTACCAGTCTGTTTCTGGGTCCAGTTCAAGGTGCTGGTTTTGATCTTTAAAGCCTTACATGGCATGGGACCAGGTTATTTGAGGGACCACCTCTCCCCCATTACATCTCCCTGTCCCACCAGATCCAGCAAAGAGGGCATGCTGTGAGTCCTGTTGGCTAGGGGGCTTCATTTGGCGGGTCCTAGGTGGCAGGCCTTTTCTGCTGTGGCCCCTGCTTTATGGAATGTCCTTCCCCCCGAAGTGAGGTTGGCTTCATCCCTTTTAACTTTCCAGAGGTCCCTCAAGACCTGCTTGTATCAGTAGGCCCTGGGACCTCAGGGGACTGGCAAAATATTGAGATGGCTCCTGTGTAATTAATAACTGCTCCTTGCCTTTTATAATTTTAAAGTTTTTAATATTAACAATATTAATATTAATTTGTATATATTGTTTTTAATTTTGTTGTATGCCACCCAGTCACTTGATTGTGAGATGGGTGGCTATATAAATATGATACATACATACATACATACATACATAAAGAGCTAGCTTGAAGCACTAACTAAATTTTGTGTGATAAACTCAGTCAAGATAAATTGTGACACTCACTTCATCATTCTAACATTCATGGTGGTTTCTTTCTTTTTCTTTTTAAAGTGAATTGGGCGGAGATTCGAGCTGTGTCCTTTCAAAGGTAAGACGTGATTAGGAACCATGCCATGTAGCTACTACTTTGCTTCTGCCTCTTCTTCCTTCCTGCTTAACTGCTCTCAGAAGCATATCCTGAATGGTGGATGAGGCCATCAGTGGACTAAATTTACAAATGGATTCTGATTGTCACTCATGGCACCTGAATGTCAGAATAAAAATTAGAGAAGAAGTAGGAGTGATAAAGCTGTCCTTGTGGTGTGCTTTTAAAGGGTGGCACAAGGGAAAGGAAATATAACTTATAGCACCTCATAATGTGGAAATGGCAACCGAAGATCTGTCCTTCATCACTCATGTGCAGTGAATATTTCTTTTGACTTAAACTGTAACAGCTGATCAAGAAAGAAAACCTTGAGAACTCACTGGCTAAATGCCACAGAGTCCTAAAACACACGCACCTTCCTTCACTAGGCTGTGGCTAAGGCTGAATGGACAAACAGACTGCTGTTGAGAACAGCCTACACAGTACAGCTCATTAAGCTCCGTTTTAAAAGAATGGGGAAGGGCTGCTAGTGCGCTTCCTGTCCAGGTTTGAGGAGGCAATGAGGTTGTTTAAACCCACCAGTGATTTTGACCTTGAAGTTTAAGGCAATGTCTCTCCCTCTGTTCATCTGTTTGAACATTAAAATCTGCCAAAGGGGCTCTTTTTTATCTTTGTACACACTGCTGGGAGCCATATATCATGTGCTTTTACACCAAGGGTGGGCAACTTTTTGAAGCTAAGATCCTCACTAAAAAAAGAAAATCAGCTGTATTTTGTTGCCAGATTTTAGGGGATGAGGAAGGGGGGGGGGTTTCAAGAAGCTGAAGGCACTGTACAAATCAATGAGGCCGCTCCTATCTGTGAGTTGTAGAATATGGCAAAGTGATTCAGGAGCTGCTAAAGTTTTAGAAGTCCTTTGTGCAGCACACAGTTTAACTGCTAAGTTGGCTGGCACAAAATGTGATGGTGTTCAGGACTTAGATGGCTTTCTCATAAGCTAAGACTATGGAGAGTCAATAATGTCTCTAGGGCAGGACAGTTTTCATTTCTTCCAGATTCTAAGGCTATACATTGTACAGGTACAGATACATACAGTACATAATTAGAACTTGAGAGCCAGTGTTGTGTAGTGGTTAAGGTGTTGTGTAGTGGTTAAGATGTTGGTTAACTGTGGAGACCCAGGTTCAAGTCCACCTTTAGCCATGGAAGCTGACTGGGTAACTTGGGACCAACTACTAGCCCAGCTTACTTCACACATTGTAGTTGCAGGGAAAAAATGGAAGCGGGAATACTAAATACACTGGCCTGAACTCCTGAGGAAATATGGGGTATAAATCTGATAAATAGATATGTTGGGATACAAGTTGCTAAGGGCAACCATAGGAAAAGCCTATTGCTCTCTTATCTTCATTGTATGCCCAGGTATTTGGCAAACCATGGTGGGAAACAGGATATAGGACTGAGGAGCTTTTGGCTTGATCCAGCAGAGACCTTTTGATGGAAACCTCCACCCCCCTCCTCATTGTTATGGTTTAGGGAGAGGCCGATTTGTATATTCTTCACATGATGAATGCTCACCCAACAATATTGTCACATGCAATATCAGTGTCAAGTATCACTTGCAATATCAGCGTCATAGGCAAGTGTCTTGTCTTTGCTGGACAGGAGCAACTTTTCTACACTTAGTTTGCTCAGAAATGTATCTGTAGTCTCTAAAGCTCCACAGTGCTTCTGGCTCAGCTTGTTGAATATATTACACTTGTTCTATACATCTCAAATTATATTGGTCCATCCTGAAAAATTGGATAGATTTCCTCCCCTCCACCTCTTTAATTTTTGTTTTATTGTTTATAGGAAATAGTTGATAAACATGAAGACTGGGAAGATTTCTTCTCTAAGTACTTTGATCAAGTGAGTATCCCTTTCTGGTACATCTAAGGAATTTTTCTGAACATGAGTTTTCTTTTCTAACAAAAGCCTGACCAAAAACACTTCCACAGGTACTGGCTTTCCACTTGGCACTTGTCTGTTGGTCTTAGCTACTAATTAAAGGAAAGGCCTCCTAACTGGGTTCACACAGCAAACTTAACCATAAGGTGATTTGTTTGGGTTTTCTTTGCTACGTGAACTCAGCCCTTATGCTTTACAAACCATGGATTTGTGGCTTAGTGTGTTGCATGAAATCAGCCAATTTTGGTTAATTTCACCATGATTAAAAAAAACGACTTAGCCTGAAGTGTGAACCACATCCTTGCTGATAATTAAATTCTTGAACATCCAATCATCAATGTCCTATGAGAAATAGCATTCTTCTCCAGTGTCACATGGCAGTATCCCTTAATTGCATGATGTAATCACTGGATCCAGAATGTCCTAAATGGACCACCCCATCTGACAGCACATCCTGGACATGTGGAAGATGCCAGGTGTAGTCTCCAAGTTGGGTAGTGCTTGGTGGGCCTGACATCCTGACAGGCATAGCTAGTTCTTGGTGAAAGTACAGCAACAGATAAATCAGTGGTCTTGCTTGGTATAAATGGACTAAAAAATCTGTAGGACCAATAGATGACAACAAAAAGGTACAGAAAATCTGAAGGTTTGGTTTCCATCTAGGGGCCATTGGGATTTCTGCAGCCCAGACATAGTATGCCTAGTATAAGGCAGTTTGTATATGTTTGAATAGAATAATATTTTTAATATATCATTGTCTAATAGATGGAGGGAGGATGGGACAAAATTAAATTTAATTAAATTGAGAAACATAAAGCTTTATCTTTTATTGCTTTGACCTAATTCAAAATGGGTATTTCAAAACTCAGGTTTCCATCAAAAAGAGATAACAGGACTACTGCCCATGTTCCCTTCCCCATTAGTATTTTTAGATGCAAAGACATTAATCATTGGATTTTCTATAATTTTGTCTCCCCTGTGTTAGTATCCTGAAATAAATGTGGTGCAGCTGCAAAGGATCCTAAACAGCATGGCCTGGACAAGTATGTCTGGTATGGAATTCTAAAATTCAGTATGTATTTTATACCCATTTACACACATACAGTACATATATGAAATCTATGAGTGATACAAGCAGTACACTTACTATTCATCAGATGTTTTGAGTATCTTAACTGCTTTGAGTGCTTTTTAAATAGGAAAGTACATGAAAAATATTTTAAATCAATAAATATGTAGCTTAGTCTGACAGCCTTTCAAAAGAGAATGGGCTTTAATTTCCCCTCTATCCTTTATAGCACAGAGATCCATGTTACAGATGTCTAAATTTCCATGCTCTTAATAAGACCATCATTTTTAACGTGAGTGAACTCATGCCCATGTAATGCAGGTTTAGTGATTATGTTTTCTTCATGGCAGAAGGGCTGCAAATGACTGTAAGTGCAAATGCATTCATAGCATAAGGAAAATCCACTTCCATCTCATCATGTGAACTACAGAATTGCATATTGCTTACATTAAAGCTGATTTCTGTATATTTAGAACTCTAGACTCTGTAAGTCTTCCTTACATTTGTACCCTGAAAATAAGCTTACTCCTTAGCAATAAAGTAATATGTCTGTTTATAAAAGAATAGTGTACAGCTGGATTAAGAATACCAGTTCTTTGATCATTCAATATATACCAGTATCTTGAGCCAGGGAGACAGATTGAATTTCTAAGAATTTCTAAGAACAAAGGAGGCATGGGCAAAATCCTACCTTGGGCTTTCAGGGTTCTTATCTAAATTAACCTCCCTTACTATTTAACTTCCTTTTGATGATATATTCCTGAATAATTATTCCTGTAGGATATTTCTCCTTGAGGATGTTTCTTATGGCAGTTTCTCCTTCATCACTCTGTTTTGTAATGTTCACATCTGTCTCTTGCTATTGTCTATTCTTTACTCTTCAGAGGAACCAGAATGCTGAACAGTAACAGCCGATCTCTGGCAATATTGTTTAATATAGGCAGAAGCTAAATGAAAAAAGTTGGTGAAATCTTGTAACTTGGCAATAATGTGGTTTTCTGAAAGCCTTAGTGCTGAAGAAACTAAAGCACTATATTTCTCATCTACTGTCTTTTGTGACTAACTCTATATTTTGTGAAGAGCTTTTCCATGTTGAAATGGTCAGAAAGCAAGTAGAATTCCACAAAACAAATGCATTCTCCTTGCATGGTAATTTTTTTATTTAAATTTACACCCATTTTTCCTCTAGGAGTTCAGGGTAGCATGCAAAATAATCCCATTTTTTCCCACAGCAACAACCCTGTAGGGTACGTTGGGTTGAATGACAATGACTAGCCATTGAATAATATTTCTTTTTTGGTGGGATTAGAGGTAGACTTGGGATTTCAAGGCCTTAGTCCGAGACCTTAACCATAATCTGTCTCTCTCTCTGTCTCTTTTCTTTCCTCGCTCAATTCCTGTTACATACCTCTTTTTTTAAATAATGTTATTAAAAATTACATTGTACAAATAAAACTAATACAAAGTATAAAAAAGAAAAAAAGTGCAAAGAAAAAAGAAAAAGAAAAAAAATTAAAGAAAAGAAAAGAAGAAAAGAAAAGAAGTAATTTCCCCCTTTGTCCCAGCAAGTACAAACAACTTTAACAACTTATCACCATCTCTTAAAATACAACAATCTCTTCATCCCATTTCTCACCTCATTCTCTATGAACAAATCTTTAAAACTTCATCACCCATCCTAATCAGCAAAAGTCCATTAAGGATTACTGGAAATAACAACCTATCTATTATAAACGTGATCTAATAAACCCACTTGAATTCCTTCCTTTTATTATATAAAAAATTGAGCCTCCCTCAAGTCAAGCTTGGCTCTATAAACTGTGACAAAAATATTTCTAACATTCCACAGTGTATTTGACTAAATAAAAGAAAACATGGTGTATAATCCTAAAGAATTAGGATTCTTTCAGAATACCAATGAAAACTGATCTTATTTTCTTTGTTGTTGATAATAGTAAACATAATCTATAAATAATCTGCCAGTGAATAGTATATTGTTTCAGCGTCGAACACAAACTCACAACAATCTAGAATACTGCTTGTAAATTTAGGTTTAATGCCACCAAAAAGGGAAAATTCATAAAATATTGTTCCATATCCTCAATTTGTATGAGTAGACATTTTGGCCAAATCTACTTTCCATGATACTTTAGAATGGCATAATCCATTACAGTGGAAAATATCAGATGAAAATGTAAGTCAGTAAATGAGACCATTTGTTTTGGAAAGGTCAAATTGTCCAAATGTAGTGCTTTATTATGAACCTGTTTAAAACAGGAGTCAAGAATGCAGTACTTATGGGCATCAAGGTGCCGACTGGAATCTCTGCCACTCCCATTAAAGTAAAATGCTGAAATCTTGCAAGATCTCAAAAGCCTACAAGATTTTGGTAGTCTTGCATGAGACTGCATGAAGTTTCACATATGATTATGAAATGTTTGTGAAATCCCACATGATAATGCCAAAACTTTTCAGCCATATAATCTTCTCTCTCAGGTCATTACCAAGATCACATAATGACACCCAGGGCCAACCCTTGAAATACAGAAACCATTTTGCAATTTTTGAAGTTTGACTAATCTTAATGTTTTAAAAAGACTTCCAAGAAATTAGCTCCTGAATGATATTTTGCTCATGTATTCCAATTTATTTGATTTCTTCATGACACAAATCTTTAAAAACCTCTGATAAATTGAGACTGTTTATGCACTGGTTGAATACAATTAAATATAATCTCTTCTGACATCATGTTTGCTGAATTTTAGCAAGCAACAATAAATTATTGCAGTAAGTAGAAGGGTAATACATAACCAAACTGTTGGGAGACCCGACAGAAAAACAAATGTTGATTAAAAAATATATTTTAGAATTTCTCTATATCCAGTCCAAAATTCTTTAAAGATTCCAGAGGATCATCTTTTCTCCAGGAACCTAACCAACTGCTATTTTTCTATTAACCTGTTCATAGTTCTAGTTGTGTTTTGAAAACTTTTGAGTAAACTAGCTAGCAGTAGGCTGCAAAATGGTTAAAACCTTTTCACTCTCTCCTGGTTCTTCTAGTGCCAGAAACATGAAGTTTACAAAAACACAACAATCAGTGAATATAACTGATAAACAGGATGGAGAAATCATAAATGGATAAGAACTTAAACTGTTGAGGAAGTAATGAGATAAAAGCTTTTGTGGCACTGGTTCAGAGTAAAGCAGGGGTTGGGGAGCAAAATCTCCATCTCCTTGGGACATGCCAGTCTTTTTAGCTTCCCCAAGAGTGAGAGTAGACAGCTATTTCATCGCATGTGAACATCTTTCCAAAGTAACCCATCAGGCATGGGGAAATCTATAAGGAAACTAACCAGGCTGTGCAGCTCATCTTTTATTCTTCATAGGCAATCAATTTTAAAGCTTTCATTTCCAAACTTTACAGTGCATGATTCATATTTAATAAACAGGGCAATAATGAGATTAAAACATCATTGGTTTCTGTAGAGAAGGGATCAGTGAGTTATGAGTCTGGCGCCTGCTCTGTAGAAGTCTGCAGGCAATCTATAATCATGATTTGCAACAAGATTAGATGCTTTTTCTGTTTCATTTCTTGTCATTCGTGTATCACTAGGATGGCTTGGGTCTAGCTTTTAACTTGCCTATTTATTCTGTTTGTGAGAGGCAGAGAGAAAGAGGATGGGAGGGAGGGAGAACGCACAACTGTCAGATTTATCCTTGTTCTCTTTCAGCTGGTATAGTTAGACAAGGGACAAATCAAGCAGAAAAAAAGAGAATAGTGACTTCTTCCAAGGTCATTCAGACATCCTGCTAAGCACACTTCCTTGGAACTAGAAATTAACAGCAATAACAATATGCCAAGATGAAAAGCATAAGATGTGTTCCATTATTTGGGGGGGGGGCAGTTGATCTGATACTTTCTCCAAGCTTGTGCCCTCCAGATGAATTGAATGAATTAAAGAGAATTAGGCTTACCGATGAAGGCTTGCTCTCTCAGTAGTTAACTATATTCAGGATAGCTTTACAAGTCTCAAGTAGCCTTTCATTGGCAAATAGCTGCTGTAGACGCAAGAGCCTCAGAAGGTTACTGCCTTTATAACCTATTTGAGGGGCGTCCCAGAAGTAACTCCTGGACCAGTGTGAAGAATAGGATGGTTTATCATTTAGCATTTTGTGTGAACCTGGCAAATTATGGTTTATTCCACAAATTAGGGTTAAATAACCAGGGCTAACATTAGGCAGCAGCTCATTCACTTTTTATGTTCACATGGGAGATGCATTGTCTCAGGCCCCTACTCTTCTATGGACAATATGGTTGTAATGTGGTGATACCTTTTCATTTCGTTCTTTTTTCACCTCCAGATCATCAAAATCATGGGATGAGATTTAGCCTGGATGCCTGCCGTGGTATCTTGGCTGTCTTAGACGTATCCTGCTTTTGGGTCTCAGCTGCGTAACATTGACATCTTGCCAACTTGACTGCCTGAAGAATGCAATTCTTGCCCTTTTCTGTGATAATTTCCTAATATTTAGTTGTATGTATACAGTTCTTCTGAGCTCAGAGAAAAAAAGGGTGGGGAAAAACAAAAAAGGAACATATGCTTTCATATATTATGGGTGTGTGGCTTCCTGCAAGGTGTCCCTGACTGTCATCACTGTTCTGTGCTCTCTCACTTATCCTTCTGTTTCACATTCACATTGCCTTCTCTTAAATACTGAAGATTGAGATCCTTGCAAAAAGTTCAAGTCCAGTAGCCTAGCCATGAGGGCTGTATAATAATATTAGGACAGTGAGATAGAAAGGAAGAAGTCTCTTCCAGTGCGTATGAATCTCTTTGCATGTAAAACAGGCCAGAGTACTTGGCTTAAGCCTTAGGAAGGACTGCAGGATCTGGATGCATCTGTATCAACAGTCCAGCCTTATAAATAATTCATCTGAGTTAACAGGGGTTTATTTTTCCTCCTGAAGTCTGG